CTTAGCGCTCTGAACGCTGAAGCTCATAGGATTTGTATTCAAAATAGGCGCTGCTAGCACTAAAAACGTGTTTGGTGGACACAGACCCTTATCAGTCTTTTCCAAACCAAACCATTTCCATGCCAGAGAGGTAGACCCATGTCTCGGCACTAAATCATCTGAAGTACCGGTAGCTTCAGGGACTGGAGGTGCTTGCATTTTCTCTCTACCGTCACAACACAGTGACTGAGGTGTGTTTGTTTCGGGCTGCGGCGCGTCCCAGCGGGCCGGTGCACAGCGGGAAGAGGCGGAGCTCCGAGGTGGTTCGCAGCTACGAGAAGGTTCCCAGGAAGATGGCGAGAACGGAGGAGAAGGAAGTCATCCATCTGCTGCCAATCAAAGACAAGACAGGAGTCATCCCGCAGAGCGTGGAGAGAGGTATTGATCACTGACTGATCACTGATTGATCACTGACTGATCACTGATTGATCACTGACTGACCTGATCGATAAATGTCTGTTGTGTTTTTTTGTAGTCGTCCCAAAGCAGCCGGAGGAAGAGGACGGGGAAGAGGAAGCAGCTGACGAGCTGGAGGAGTCTGAAAACGGTATGAACGACCTTTGACCCTGATCAATACACCCGTTTTTATTGAACTTATTGATTTTTGTTGAAAGTGTTATTAGTGGGAGTCACATGTATGAAAATCAATATGTATCATATCAGGATGATCTATATAGATAGATAGATAAGGGTGTGCTCATTGTTAAAGGATATATATATATTGATAAGGGTGTGCTCATTGTTAAAGGATATATATCTATATCTATATATATTTATATCTATATCTCTATATATATATATCTATATAGATAAGGTAACTGTAGTGTGTCCTCCCGAGCAGAGGGGGAGCCAGAGAGCTCCACAGCGCTGACAGCAGAGCAGAGAGAACAGCTCAGAGTTCACAAGATAAACGAGAAGAAACTGGTCATCGCTGGCCTGGGATCAGCCGTCATATCAGACCCCTACAGTAATGTAAGGCCACACTGCTGATTGATTATGGGATCTATAATTATTGATTTGATCAGTTTAACGTACAGTGTGTGTGTTTGTGAGCAGATAAAGCGAGTGAAGGAGCTGCGAGGGATGCTGATGGAGTCCGACCCCTGTGTGGCGGTGACGGTCAGGAAGCTGGTGATGGTTTCTCTGATGGAGATCTTTAAAGACATCACCCCCACCTACAGGATACGACCTCTGACCCCCGAAGAGAAAGCCGCCAAGGTAAAGCAGACGTCACGTCTACGTTTGTTAAGATTTAATATACTTTTTCCTTCTTTAATGGAATTAAAGGATTAATGTTTTATTAATGTCAGGCTGTAGTTGCTCAGGTAACTCAGGGTGTAGTTGCTCAGGGTGTAGTTGCTCAGGTAACTCAGGTTGTAGTTTCTAAGAACAGCAACTCTGGTGTTCAAAGCTTCAGAAATATAAAATACCTGAAAGTCCTGAATCTGACGTCTCTCCTGTGGTTGGTTGGTTGGTTGGTTGGTTGGTTGGTTGGTTGGTTGGTTGGTTGGTTGGTTGGTTGGATGGTTCCAGGTGAAGAAAGACACTCAGCAGCTCAGAGAGTTTGAAGAGGGTTTGGTCTCTCAGTACAAGTTCTACCTGGAGGACCTGGAGCAGACCATCAAAGGTACACAACCACACAAACACACTGATACACACACACACACACACACACACACTGATACACACACACACACACACTGATGTGTTCACCCTCCGTCTGCAGACTGGAAGCAGAATAAGAAGAAGCGCAGTCAGGCAGTGGGTTTCCAGTCGTACCTCGGCCTGGCAGAAGTTGCCATTCGCTGCCTGTGTGAGTTGCTGCTCGCTCTGCCTCACTTCAACTTCCACAACAACATCGTCGTTGTCCTCGTCCCGCTGATGAATGACCCTGTCAAGAAGGTAAGTTTAAGTTGCTCTGTGTGTTGTTGCTGTAGTTGCTTTTTTGCTGAAGTTGCTCTGTGTGTTGTTGTTCAAGTTTCTGTTTGTTGTTACTGTAGTTTCTCTGTGGCTGTAGTTGCTCTGTGTGTTGTTGTTCAAGTTGCTCTGTTGCTGAAGTTGCTCTGTGTGTGTTGCAGGTGTCAGGTATGTGTTGTGATGCGTTCAGGAAGCTCTTCCAACAGGACAAAATGGGCGGGGCTTCGTTGGCGACCGTGCGGGTTATCTCTGGCCTTGTGAAGAGCCTGAACTACACTGTCAAACCTGAGGTAACGCATCAAACGCACCCAACCAATGATGTCAGACTGATATAATGACCTTTGACCCCCCACCAACCACAGACTGATGTAATGACCTTTGACCCCCCAGGTGCTGAGGACTCTGCTGAGTCTGAGGATAAAGGAGGTTGAGATGAAGAAGGACATAGAGGACACGGCACCAAAGAAGAAGTTCATGAACAACAAAGAGAAGAAGAAGAACCTATCGAGGATGCAGAGGAAGGTAAACAGTTAATGCTGGTTCTGATCAATGTATCAGTCTGTATACTGTCAGTGATCAATATATCAGTCTGTATACTGTCAGTGATCAATATATCAGT